GTGTTTCCAGGCACGCTCCTCTCTTTTTCTCTGATCTGAGCACTTGCTCAGCAGTCTGGATCATATTCAGTGGTTTGCTGTGTTGCTGTTCAGTCTTCTCTAGCAATTTCCTCTTTCCCAGAGGCTGCTGCAAAGCTCCAAGTGATAAGAGATGTCAAGGATGTGAAGGCCTGTTTCTTTTGCTCTTGATTTTGTTTGCTCATTGCAGATGTAATAAGCCTAAAGGTTACATCATCATGGCTCTATTGATGTTCGTCTGTTCTGGGCTCCAGGGGAAAGGAAACTTCTCGCCCTTGATATCATGTTTTGACCTTTCATTGGAGGACACTGGTATGACTATTCCCTGCTTGGTTTATTAAATTGAATCCATCCAATTTAAAAGAAAGATTGCATGTCCAGATCAGGGTCTTGCTGTGCTGGAATGGATGGCAGCATTATGACACAGAGCTGGGGGAAGACTTGTGTGCAATGGAGTCTTTCTCAAAGTTTGAGCCTCTGGATGCCCTAGGGATCACTCTGGACACTGCCTAGGTATAGCTAGAAGTTTTCCTGTGCTGGCCCAGCCCCAAGGTCCCACAGCCACTTATAAAATTCCTGTGTCCCTGTGCTTTATCCAACCTTGGTCTCAACAATTCTCGCTCATATAAACCCTCCTCATTCTCGCTAATTGGACTCCCAGAGATCCACCCAGGGCCTAGTCATGGATCTCTGCATCCAGATCCCTCAGTAGTTGGATGAGGTTTCTAGCACAACAATTAGGGTGTTTGGCCATCCCATCACCAGAGTAGGTCAGATCGGGCTGTCTCTCGACCATTGCCAGCAGTCTGTTGTGTGGGTATCTTTGTGGATTTCTGTGGGCCTCTCTAGCACTTTGCTTCTTCCTATTCTCATGTGGTCTTCATTTACCATGGTCTCCTATTCCTTGTTCTCCCTCTCTGTTGTTGATCCAGCTGGAATCTCCCGCTCCCCCAAGCTCTCTTTCCCTCAACCCTCGCCTTTCATTACCCCCACTCATGTCCAGGCTGTTCATGTAGATCTCATTCCATTTCTCTGTCATTGGGCGATCCCTGTGTCTTTCTTGGGGTCCTGTTTTCCAGGTAGCCTCCCTGGTGATGTGAGTAGCAGACAAGTCATCCTTGTTTCATGTCTAGTATCCTGCTATGAGTGACAAATGAATGGAAACACATGAACTATGAAACAATGGCTGAGGGGTCCCCACTGGATCAGGCCCTCCGAATGGGTGAGACAGTTGATTGGCTTGATCTGTTTGGGAGGCATCCAGGCAGTGGGACCAGATCTTGTGCTCATTGCATGAGTTGGCTGTTTGAAACCTTGGGCCTATGCAGGATTGTTTGGCTCGGCCTGGGAGGAGGGGACTAGACCTACCTGGACTGAGTCTACCAGGTTGACCTCAGTCTATGGGGAAGGCTTTGCCCTGGAGGAGATGGGAAGGGGGGGGTGTTGGGGGAAAGGTGAGGGGGACGGGAGGGGGGAGAACAAGGGAATCCGTGGCTGATATGTAGAACTGAATTGTATTGCAAAAAAAATTAAAATAAATTAAAAAAAAAATTCCTGTGTCCCACCTGGTCCTGTAACTGCTCAGACCCAAGTAAACACACAGAGGCTTATATTATTTTTGAACTATGGCCATGGCAGGCTTTTTGCTAGCTAGCTCTTACATCTTAAATTAACCCATTTCTATAAATCTATACTTTGCCACATGGCTTGTGGCTTACCAGTACTTTTACATCTTGCTTCTCCTGGCAGCGGCTGCCAGCATCTCCTCTGCTCTCTCTTTCTTCCTCTCTCTTTTCTTTAGAATGTCCTGCCTAACCTTATTCTGCCTCACCATAATGAAGCTGAACGGCTTTATTTATCAACCAATCAGAGCAACACATACAGCATATAGAGTGATATCACCCATCACCTAGGTTCTACTGAGTTAAACTTTCCTGGGGGGGGGAAATCCAACAAATATACATTTACCAAGCTCCTCTTGCTCCCTATGTGACCTTTGGCTTCAGCATTACTCATGGAATGCAAAGAGCACCACCTCGGAGCACTCAGTCAAGTCCAGTTATATCCCCCACTTCTCATATCCTTCTGGGTAGGCTGAATGCCATCTCTGGCTGCAGTCTGTGAACTTACACCAGAACATCAATATTTACAATTGGCTCAACAGCTCTTACTGCATAAGAACCTTCAAATGCTGAGGCTGGTTGTGAAGAGGATGGAGGGATAACGCATCCACCTTCAACTTGTTCACAGTCTATTTGAGAGGGCAACTCATGTAACACCCAGGAGCTAGCAAGATCATGTTAACTGGGAAATAAGGTGGCTCATTTGGAAACAAAACTTCAGAGGAGAGAAAACTAATAAACTAGCCCTGAGAGGCTAGTTGAGGAAGGTGGACTCTGGTCTGTTTCTGGAGCAACAGGTGGGAAAGTACAGAGCAATGAAGGAACAGTTAGCAATGTGAGAAAGAGGTCTGAGAAAGCTGAGGTGTGAGTATGGCTGACCAAGCTTCGGACACCTAGATAGATTAACGCAGAGCACAGAGTTTGGAAAACCAGAGAAATGAGAACGTGTTTAGGGTGCACCGTGGAGCGTCTTACAGTGCTGGTGTCAGGGGTCTGGATTTCATGCTTTCATAGAGTCAGTAAAGGATTCTAGTCAAGGAGATAGACAAGTTAAGAGGGCAAGTAGAAACCACCTGCATGGAAAGCACACGTAAAAGTGTGAAAGGATGTGTTGGTTGGGACCCTCCAGTTAGCAGGCCCAAAGCTAAGATCTGATAAGAGGAACTTAGAAAACATGCCTGTGAGAGAAAGCAGACCAGACCTGGGAGAGACATGGTGACTCCTGGATTGTGTAGCAGTGTTGACTCACATGAAATAGACAAGTCAGGACAAGGAAGGCTAGCTGCCATGCAGTTCTGAGAATAGTCCAGTGTCTTTTAGGGAACTGCAAAGTCAGTGTCTCTCATCAGAGGAGTCCTGTTTCATTGAGAAAGGAGTATGCCTGGTGTCCATATTGCATTTAGTTGTTCACTGGAAGTAGCCCTATGGAGATACAGACTTGACAAGTAGGGAGCAGTGACCTTTGCATCACCAAAGGTGGTGTCTTCAGTCAACAGAGCTTCCCTCTGGAGGAATGGCAGCTTGTCTGGCCATAACACTGAGGGAAAATGAAGTGATCTGCTTTGCTCCCGTAGACCCCGAGATGGCCACTCTGGCTTATTTCTGGTTACATTGGTGAATTCTTTTTCCAGATTTTGTCATGGGTGCCCACAGTTGCTCATGCTTTTACATGATGGCTTTGAGAATGGCTACATAGATAAAAGGAGGTTAAAAGAAAGGATGGAAAATGCTGGTGTGTGTGTGTGTGTGTGTGTGTGTGTGTGTGTGTGTGTGTGTGTGTGTGTTCATGTTCAATAGAAAGTAAATTCCCTGGCTCATTGCTGTGCATTTGATTGGTGAGAAGAGGGATAAATCCTGGGACTTCCTTAATCTCTGGATTTAGCAAAGAGGAAACTAGCTATGAATGAGAGAGACCAGGGTCACTGAGTAACCCTAAAGTACAAGGTACTGTGTAGTTACAGGCTCCTCGCTCTGATGCTGCATTAGTGCATCAGGTAGCTTGGAAGAGTCTCCAGTTTTACACATATCCATGCTACTTCCACCCGTGAGAAACCTGAGGCCTCCAGCCATAGCTTCACAGAGAAATTCCATGTCCCAAGTCAACCTTACGTGGACTCCTTTTGGCCTATAATAGACCATGATCTCTCTCCTTTAATTTCTTTCTTACTTTACATAGAAGAAATGGAGACAGGGCTGATTGACCCCATGGAGTGCTGAATGAGAATAAATCTCCAAGTGAGCACTTTGTTGTGAGTTAAATGCCATAAAATGTTCAATATAATGGCTGATTATTTTTCTTTAATCTTAAATGGATACCTAGAATGGGGAAGTCCCATCCTGGAAGAAGAAATTAATTATCTCAGAGAGAGTTTAATGGCTGCTCTGCAAATGAGTTGGAGGGAGTTAAACCTCAGAATGGGAAAGAGTGGAGAAAAGTGAAATGAGATGTGTATTACATTTAGATAAACACAATTATACGCAACTGGGTATGTGTATGACCCACCTGCATGCTGCTGCATGCAATAATGTTGGTGCACTTGACATCCTTGCGGACAGAAGGCTGTGCTTAAGCTACTCTCCAGATACATGCTGGAGGCAGGCATGGAACTACCTGCTACTCAGATTCTCAGCTAGAGCAGTGGAAAGGGCACAGGGACAGATTAGGCAACCCAGGATCAGTTCTGGTCATTCACTAATCTTATCGCTAGCTCTCTGGGTTTCCTAACTTCAGCTGGAGGCAGGAAGATAGTCCCAGAGTCTGGCGAAGTCCCCTGACCTGCTTACTGTGAGGTGGGGGCAGTTGCCACAGGATCAGTGGCAGGCAGTATCAGAACATCGGGGACTGAGCCTGCTGCCATTCAGGTATTTGTGTCTGATGAAAACACAAAATCTCTTTGAACTCCTTCTGTGGACAGAATGAGTCGACCCAGTTCCCTCTTAGTCTTTTAGATCCTATTCTGTACATCAGAGTCTTCTTGAGATCAAATGCAAGGAAGTGGGGTGTCTCTGATCTCTGGGTGGCCTTGGCAGTGAACAAAGCCAGCTGGCCTGGGCCTGACCTTGCAGAAGGACAGATGTGTAGAGACCACTGTTAATGCCCAATTAATTCCTGTTGGCATGTTTTATTTCAAATGCAAAGCACTGTCGGGATTAATATAAATGCTACCAGTTACTGGGGTGCACTACGTTAATAATTTCTTCTCCCTTGCATGATCCTATAATACTCCTCAAACTCAGCGGATAAATACTAAGCCCTCCTTTGGGTGATACTAGATGTGATGTGTACTGCTACACAAACTAAAGTAAGCTTCCTTTTCCCCCTTTGTCCCTCTTCTCCGCCCTCACCCCTACCCCTTGCAGGTGATCCTGATCCTGACCAAGCTGTATGACTTCAACCTGGGGAGTGTGACTGAGAGTTCTCTGTGGAGGTAAGTGGATTAGATCGTCTTAAAGCTGCCCTGATGGTTTGGCTGGGGAGAAACATAAGCAGAACAACCGAGAAGTCTGTTTCAGAAGGAATATAGGACTCGTACCTCTGGTGCCCTAGGTGGGAGCAAGCTGGGGGTGGGAAATGGGCCTGACGCTCCTTAGGACTTTCCTGTTGTCTATCTGCCTTGGTGCTTTGCTGCTTTTGCAGGCCTCCAGGGTCTAATTCTACTTGGTGAAACAGGGGCTGGTCAGAAATGGAGGAGGAAGATTCCTTAACAAGGGGAGATCCTTGGCTTGCGGGACTACTGGTGGAGCAAGGGGTTCTTGCTCTGGGTGTGGATCTGGCCCCGGGCATCACTGCACTTGGAAGGTGCCACAGTTTTTGAGAAGCTGATGGCTATGTAGACAGAACAGATTCATATCTGCATGGTGGCTTCCATGGGTGCCTGTTAGGTTTTGCCTTTGTGAACCCTTCTTCCTATAGAATATACTAATTTTATTTTGTATTATATAACAAAATATTATAATGGGCAAAAGACCAATATCTTAATAACCTATTTTAAAGCATATTTTTCAGCTTCAAAGTTGATTTGCTTATTTTTATTTTAAATGAAGTTAAACCATAAGACTCTTGAAAGTTCTGTGAATTGAATGCACTGTACGCCTTGTGCCTAAGAGGGTAAGAAGGCATCCTGGTGATAGTCTTGGGGTTCAAGGGGCGTGGTGGAGAAGGGTTGGTTGGCATGGATAAGAGGACTCTGATTTAGCTATGGTGCTAGGAGTTCCTCTTGACAGGGAACACCTGTGTGCAAACCTGTCGTGGAATATTTGTGTACACTGTGAAGATGTGTCTCTGCCTAAGGCACCTTCTGATTGGTTTAATAAAGAGTTGAATGGCCAGTCGCTAGGCAGGAGAGGATAGGGGGGATTTCTGGGGAGCGAGAGGAAGAGGAGGATGAATCTAGGTGTGTGGATTTCACCAGAGACTCTGAAGAAGTCAGAGATACGGTACAAAACAGAGGTAACTGAGCCATGTGGCAGAATGTGGATTAAAAGAGACAGGTTGATTTAAGTTATAAGAGCTACTTGGAAAAAAATCCTAAGCTAAGGCCCAGCTTTCATAATTAACAGTGTCGCTGGGTCATTATTGTGTACTGGTGGTCCAAAGATAGCCTGACAAGAAAGCTCGCTACACAAACCCTTAGGCCCCCTTTCACATCTTGCACACTCACAAGCACACTGGCCTGCACTCACACATTGGGCAATAGCAAGTGTCACCAGCTGCTGTGATTTGGTACCTTGTGCTGTGTGCTTACTGTTGAATGCCTGGAGAACTTGTGCATTTCCTTTCATTTTCTCTGCCAACTGTCAGCCTTGGGGAGGATACTTCCCCTAAAGGCCACTTACCTGACTGCAGCACTGCCCAGTGCCATGTCCTGGGGTTTCCTGGGCCTTCTTGCAGGGAACCTGGAGTATGAGATGCCTCATTATCTGGCCTGCATGCTTGTTGAGGGCTAGTTAGAGCAGATCTCACTGAATAGGGTGTTAGCTAAGTTAAGGTTTTGGGGCTAACTTATCAGATGGTAGAGGCTTGCCTCCCTTTGTATAGGTGGTCTCTACCAAATTTTGCTGCTCAGTAAGAGTCGGCGGAGGTATAAGCTATCACCACCTCTAGCAGATGAGAGCTGGGCAGATTCCACTCACGCAGTATTGCCTGGGAACTAGAGCTCAGAAGGCTTTCCTAAAGCCCCCAAACAGAGATGCTGCATGGCACTATAAGCCTCACTCCTGTGCAGTCGGTTTGGTCCAATCACGAAAGCAGCCAGTAAATCCTGGCCTTATGTTTAGGAACACCTATGACTGACACTTCGTGTTTTAGAAAAGGTTTGGCTAGTTCCATGAACGTGGCCCAGCTGCTTGATGACACAGTCTCTGAAGTAGTGAAGTTTTCCTTGAGGTGAGAGTTGCTGTGTTCTACAGTGGATGCAATATACAACCAAGGCACTCCAGCACGCTGACACCCAATTGCTGGAGTTTAAGTGTGGGTTGGCTCACTGAGCGAACCCTGTAACTTACCTTTAGATGCTTTACTTAGCCCCTGTGTATTAATTCCTGGGGCTGCCACAACAAATGACCCCTCAGGAGTGGCTTAAAGGAGCTAACATGTCTCTCTTAGTTTTGTAGTCTGGAAGCCTGGGTTCAGGGTAGTACTAGAGCATCACTCTTCCCTGGAAGCTTTAAGCAGGAAAGTTTTACCTCTTTCCCATGTTTGGAGGCCACTCACAGACCTGCTAATTGCACCCTTCCAATCTTGTCTTCATCTTCCCCGATATTATCCTAGGTCAATGCCCCCTCCCTGCATCCCTGACCGTGGGTTTGTGGTTAGATCAAGGCCCCACTTGGATAATTCAGGGTGATTGTATTTCAAGATCCATAGTGGCATTAGCAAAGATGCTTTTTGGAAAATATAGTCCTGTAGTACAGTGTAAGGATCAGAATTGAGTACGTGCTTTATCACACTCCACCACTCAATACCACACCAACCTCTAAGTCCCATTTTCCTTCATAGAAGCTGGGGACAATACAGAACACACATGTGGCCTTGGTATGTTTTCCTTGTGGTTCCCCAAGCACAAGCACCACACAGTTCCTTAGAGTGTCTTTGATCAACTCCTTTCTGGTTTAGAATCCCAGGGTTCAGGGAGCCCCCGCTTCTTCCCCTCCTTCTCTGCTTACATGTGCCTCATCTGTGAGTCCTTTCCCTAGAATTTCACATTTCATTGCCTAGCCACCTTCTCCTTTCCAGTATTTAATCACTATTTGGCATGTTAAATATTTACTTATTGTTTTATTTATTGCCCACAGACAACCACTAATGTCTAAACTTTGAAAAGAGGAAAGCTGGCTTTTTTTTTTTTATTATTTTCAGTTAGTGCTATGTCCCCAGCACCTTGAGGAGAATTTGGCACTCAAGAGGTGCTTAATACATGTTTGCTCAACGAATGAATTAGTGAGTGACTTGTAAGGATTAAATAATAAATGCAAAACCACTTAGGACAGTAACTGGTGTAGGAAACATTCACTTTGTTGTAATTATTAATGATTAGTAGAGCTCTGGGTGTTTGTATGGGGTTTTCATTTCATTATTGACTTTTCATTTAGGGATCCATTGCTGTAGGAGCTTGTGTGAGGGAACTCCTAGGCCATTAAGGGGTATGTTCTGTGTCCTCTAGTTAGTAGTGACTTTAAGGATAAAGGCAGGAATTAAGGAGGGAGGAGAGTGTCCCAGATTGTTGTCCCTTGGGCTCTCTGGGGGGATGATCAGAATATTGATGTCTACCTTGCTGAAGATAATTTTTTTTAATGGACCAGCTTCTCTGGGCTTGTCTATAGGTGATGAGGGAGCCAAATATGAGGCAAAGAGCCAGATGGGGGGAGCATGGGGACCCATTGAGTTGACTGAAGGGGCACAGTTCCAGGTTGGTTCCTCCACTACAGTTAACAGAAAACATATTCCATATGGTGTGACATTTTGAGGACTTATAGAGATTTATGGGGCTTTGCTAGTGGATAAATGTCAGACAAGGATGTATTTTTGTGTTAGATTTCAGGACTTTCACATGTTGATAAAACCCACCTTAGAAATTCAGTGCTAGAAAATGAATGAAAAAGACATCGCTCCTAAATTTTGCAGGCCTTTGCAGGCTGATTTGCTGGGGCCACTAGGAGACGTCCCACGCTTCACTGTCTGCTACCTTCGTCCCTGGGCTTATCTCTCATTTCCTTTTCCTGTATTGATAATGACGAAAGACTTTACAGTTAGAGCCTAGAGCACTCTGATTTTCCTCCCTAACACAGTGGAAAGATAAAAAGAAACTAAATTAACCATGCACCCTTTCAGCCTCTTGCTTTGGCTTAATATGCTTAAGCACGTTGAAAATGAATTTGGTGATCTTCTGTGCGACAGGGAAGCCCCGGAGTAGCTGATGTCTTGACAAGATGACATCCCCTGCCAGATTTCAGTGTGATAGGATTATTTGTCCCCACTGGGTTAATAATTCAGAGGACCTCTACTTCTAAATATACAGAAAGATTGAAGGCATCAAATTATACATCTGTTTCTGTGTTCTTGTGGTATTCCTTCTGCAGTTCTTTGGTCTTGGTAAGCTGGAGGTGGCCATAGTTTATCTTCGCTAACACTAAGATGGCTGTGTAAAGTCACCATTTAGTGCAAGTGTATGATGATCTCAGTCAAAGGACACAGTGCATATTGGAGTTCAAGTGCAAAGAATTGATGAGTCAGGATTGACTTTTTTGAGGACACAGTGCTTCCCCTGAAAAATCTGGGTTATGACACTGAGATTAGGAGCTTCCCTGGTCTATGGTATGACATTCCCTCTTCAATATTTTTGTCCTAAGTTGAACCTTCACTAGAGGCAACTGTACTAATTCTGCCTTCTTCATTCCTGAATCATTTGGTGTGTAGGTACTGTAGACTGATAAAAAGGGACTTTCTGTGCAATCCACATGTGGCAATACTTCTGTGACATCTCTATGTACCTCTGAACACATGGGTACCCTTGCCTCATTTGGAGGCATTTAAAGTCCTCATTTAGAAAAGTTAAACTCTCATAAGACCAGTTAACCTACTATGGGAGTTTGGAGTCTTTGGTTCTAAATATATATGCCATGGCCAAGAGTTATGTTTTGATTGACAGACAGCTTGTTGGACTTGCCCATCCCAAGTGTAGTCTCTGACAGTGGTTCATGAAGGCTTAATCTGAGATAAAAATGCATTGCATGAGTAAAATCTTCACACACGTGTATGGGATCTCCACAAGCCTGGGGTCTCCACAACTGTGGTTTCCTGTAGAAGCTTTCTTTTGGGTATTGAGTTAGGAGTCCTCAGAGAGTTTATGTGAATTTGTAATTATCTAGGTATAAAAGAGCCATAAATAAATAAATAAATAAATAAATAAATAAATAAATAAATAAATAA